GTGGGGGGGGGGGGGGGGGGGGAAGGGAGGCAGTATACTGGTGGAAATGGAGGCGGGGGAGGGGACAGGGACTGCCTGGCTGGTACCTGGGGGTCCCATAGCTGCATGCCAGGTTTGGGTCTCAGAAAGGGCGTGCGCTGCTTTCCCCCTCCCCAAACAGCCAGTGTGTTTCCAGAAATGCCGGCTCTGTCATGCTGCCAGGGACTTCCTTCCCCCTGCTGCCTTCCTGCATGAAGGGGCGGAGGGGAGTAGGAGTCTTGGGACCGGGCCAGCTCCAACTGCTCAGGCAGCACGTGCCCTGCTCCTCTGCTTGCCACGGCAGCGTAAGCTGCCTGAGGAGTTGCAGCTGGTGTGGTCCTGGGATTCCTACTCCCCCCTCCCGCGCAGGCAGGAAGCAGGGGAAGGAAGTCTCCAGCGGGATGACAGAGCCAGTGTTTCAGGAAATTCACTGGCTGTTTGGGGAGGGGGAAAGCAGTGAACGCGCTTCCTGAGACTCGGACTAGGCACGCAGTTGCGGGACTTCCCCCCCATGCTGCAGGAAGCCGGCACTACCTCCGTTTTCATAGGAGGTAGCACCAGTGTGGGCTCTTTCTTAGGGTGGGGGAAATTAGGGGGGAGCTGGGTCACCTCGCGCCCCCTTGCACCCTTGGAATTTCTTCATGCCCCCCCCAGGGGGCACGCCCCCCCAGTTTGGAAACCAATGATTTAGAGCCCCAGAAGGAATAACTTACAATGGCCATGGCAAGGGCTATTTCAAAATAGCAGAAGTGGAGCATCTATACACGCCTTATTTCAAAAGAGCTATTTCAGGATAGGCATTATTCTCCGTCGAATGAGGTTTACAGAACTCAGAATAAGCCATCCGTTATTTTCAAATTATTTTGAAATAACGCAATTGTTGTGTAGGTGCTTGCATAGTTATTTTGGAATTACAGGCAGTCCCCGGATTACGTACAAGATAGGGACTGTAGGTTTGTTCTTAAGTTGAATCTGTATGTAAGTTGGAACTGGCGTCCAGATTCAGCTGCTGCTGAAACTGACCAGCGGCTGACTACAGGAAGCCCTAGGCAGAGTTGCTCTGCCCCGGGCTTCCTGGAATCAGCCGCTGATCAGACACAACCTAGAAGAGCAGCAATATCATTGTTTGTCAGCATTTCAAAAGAGGAGGAGTTCTACTAATATAAGCTGTGAGTATAGCCTATTTTAGGGTATGTCTAGACTACGGGATAAGGTCGAATTAAGATATCCAACTTAAGCTACGTTAATTACATAGTTGAAGTGCCATAAGTCGAATTTTAGTGCTGTCTACACCATACGAAGTCGAAGGGAGAACACTCTCCCTTTGACTTCCCTTATTCCTTATGGAAGAAGGGCTACCGGCATCGACTGGAGTGCCTTTCTCAGTTCGAATTAGCTGTCTTAACTAGACTGCTAATTCAAACCCTGGAAGATCAACAGTGGTAGCTTTGATCTTCTCTGTAGTGTAGACATACCCTTTATGAGAAGCTCATATCTAAAACCCTAGTGGAGACCTCATCTAAAATAGAAATACTTTGAATTTTTATAGAATCTTTCATAATAGGATCTCAAAATGCTCTACATTAATGCCACAGCTCCTTGTGAGATTGGGTACAATATTTAACCATGTTAAGCCTGGTGAACTGAAGCACAGATCCACATTTTTTTAAAAGGGTGCTTGCACTTTTAAATATCCACAATTAGCTATGCAAAAATGGTGTGTGTGAATAAGTCAGAGTTACTCATAGGCGTGTCAGTGGTCAGCAAGGTTCAAACCTTTAGAATCATTAGCACAACACTGGCCGCTAAGCCCTGGTCTACACTAGGGTGTTATTTCAAAACAACCTCCCTTAGATCAAATTTATAAGCAGAGCGTCCACATTACCCAGTCCGTTATTTCAAAATAATGGGCTGCTCATTTCAAAATCTGTACTCCTGCATTCCTCATTAATAGGGACATTACTCTGGGGAGAAGTTATTTTGAAATAACTACTCCCCAGAGAAATTCCAGCTAATTACTTGCGGTGCTTCCTGGGCCTCTAAGCTGAGGTAGCACATTCACATTAATGGCGCCTTTGTCAGACTAATTTTGAGACTTCCCCGTAATGTGGACACACTATTTAGATTTTGTAAAATTGGGAGTTAAGTCGAATTTAGTTATTTTTAAATAATTTCCTAATGTAGACATGCCTTAACACTTACATTAAAGGTGTCGGTCGGTCCATTAACTGCTAGCATTAGTAGGTTATCTACTAGCGAGGGACATGACATCACTTGGCCAGTGTGTGTTACAGGTGCACAGATCCTCCAGTTACATGTGTACAAGTCAGCACTTAAAAGTGTGCTTGTACTTTTGCATACATCAACTTAGAAATTGGATTAAAGTAGCTTGCTCAAGCTTGTCTAATTACAGGAATTACTGGGAGAAAATTTTAGGGAGAAGATCAGAATAGATCATCATATTGATTCCTTCAGGTCTTATTTTATGAATTAATGAATAAGCTACTAACGTGAGATAGCAGATAGGACCAATGAGTTCTTCTTTGTTCCTTTCTAATGCTGCCTTTTTACAAACTTTACTTAATATTTCAGGATTTTTATTAGGCTAGGAAGAAGCAAACTTCATGTGAGCTGTGTTAATCCCCTCTTGGCATCAGGCATTGTATTATATTAGAAAAAACAACTTGATGTGCTGTCCAAGCGCTCATGATGTATTAACAAATAAGGATGTCATGCAACAGTCCCTACATAGGAAATACCAGGAGAGTTGCACTTATCTAATAGCAGTTTTAGTTGAGATATGTACTATTTGAACATCAGCCATTGATTAGCTATTAGCCATTAACCTAAAACAAATTGATATGTGCATTGCCTAGCATAGATCTCCCTTATCACTTCTTGTAAAACATTATTTCTAACTATTTTAGGGCATTACAAGGTGCCTATTTCCTTTAGTATCAGTGTATCTCATAAAAAACAAAACTATCCCTTCTTAAGTGGAAAGATAATCTAAACCAAAGGTCTGAGACTGGGAAAATCATGCTCTGAACAGAGCTTCAGAGGGGTTCCCAGTTCTGATTTTACATTACATGCTGTCAAAAAGCATTTTTTGTACAAAGTATTTCCAGTCAGTTTGCCAGAAAGCTTTCTGATACCTATTTCATAATATTTTGAAAGACATTGAAATTAATGTCATGTATTTTATTGGCATTTTTACAAATTGGACTGTAGGGGGAGATAAGGTCAGAAGGAAGCTGTAAGATTGACAAGTAATGTACAGTATTGTCTTGGTATCAAGCCAGGGCTATTAAAATGGTAAAGTTGACTCTACAGCAATATTTGATGTGCCAAACCACAGAAGACAGTTGATGATGGCTATGGATTGGAAGAGAGTCCCTGTAGCACACTTACTGTACTGTACATTTTGAACATGTCATTTTTTACACTGCTGGTAATATGTCTGTACTGTAGTCTTTATGTTTTGTTTCTCCATTATCTGTGAACAGAAAACCAGCAGGAGTGTTTAAAGGATTGTGAAATAAGGTTTGTTTCCATAGATCTGATGTTAGCATGTTCAGGAAGTGATAGAATGAGACTGATTTCTTTGCATAAGAAGGCTTTTCTGGGAACAAATGTAAATGTTACTGTATTCACCCACACTCAGAAAACAGAAAACAATGTTAATAATGAAATTAATAACAAAAATATTGACATTCAAAATTCTTGCTGCTCCCCAGTCACTCTGCTCCACCACCTCATTATAGCTCCACTTGTGGAGTGTTTTTCCTCCTCTTTCTCACACATTTCTTTCATGCAGCCTTTTCCTGAAAACTAGAACTTTCTCTCTACCACAGTATGTCAGTGAAATCCTCTCTCCTTCCAAATATGTCATTTTTAAAGCTACATATGCTAATTTACTAATCCATTAGTTTTAAAAAAATTGCTCTAACACACTGCAGGTCTCTCAATGTATTTTGTGGACTATTTAGAGTGTAGGCTCCCTGGGCAGAGTTTGTGTCTTCTGTTTTGTACAGTGCCATGTAAGCCATCAGTGATGGATCCATAGCCTATTAATTCAATAAAATTCTTTGTCGACTGCCATGAGCTTTGGGGCAGGGCACAAGTGCAGGAAGCACCCTGGATTTTGAAGGTAGTCTATAAACAATCCTTGATTTTCACATACAACTTCTCTTCTTTCTCTAGCCAAGCCAGAGACTAGCTTAAAAATGGACTTTCAGCCTTGATGCTAATCCCACTTGCCTTTTTAGATGTAATTAAATCTTATATCAGTTTAATTTGTTTCTAAATCTGATTTCTTCTTATTTTTATTTTGAATGAAATATTTATCCACATAGAAGTGTGTGATTTGATTATTATGACAAGCATACATATCTGAAGTTTAAACTGAATATTTTTCAGAATAAGAATTACAAGAAGACTGACTACAATCCTACAAACACTTGTGCGCATGCTTAACATTAAAACCCTGAGTAACCCTGCTGAAGACAATAGGACTGTTCACCAGCTTAATGTTAAACATGTACATAAGTGTTTGAAAAACTGTGGCCTATAACCGTTTTTAAAGCATTTACAGTTCAATGTGTAAATTCACTAGGCAACTTTAACCACTGGATATTTATACTTTTTACAGCAGCTAAGGATCTATTATACAACATTTGTTTGGAAATCCATGCCTGGAATGTTCAGAAATGGTTGAGCTAAGCCAACAGCATGGCCTTTTACACATGTGTCTGAAGATAAGGTAGTAGAGGTGGTGATTTACCCGCAGACAGAAAAAAGGATAGGTAAGATCAATAAAGACAATTAATATAGGGCTCTATTGTAAACCCAGATGTGCAACTGTGAAAGGGCATGTCTACACTGGGGAGTTATTTCAAAACAACTTCCCTTATTTCAATATAACAAGGTGAGCATCCATATTACCAAGCCTATTATTTTGAAATAATGGTCTTGTTACTTTGAAATAGCAACTCCAGCTTGTGAAGAGGAATAAGCTTATTTCAAAATAGTTATTTCAGGAGTTATTGTGTCAAAATAAGTTATTTTGAAATAACCTGGTCGTGTAGACATAGCCAAAGAGGACTAGGGGCTGCATCCCCTGCTTGCTATGTTAGCCAATCCCCCTCCCCCTTTGAGGGTAGGTATCTGGCCAGGGGGAGGGTGCAAGAGGAGGGGAAGGTGCAGAAGCAGGTTGGGGTAGGTGTCTGGCCAGGGGGCAGGAGAGGGCTGGAGGTGCAGGGTCTCAGCAGGAGGGTTGAAGGGTTGGGGTGGGGTTGGGCTCAGATGACGGAGGGGATACATGGTGACCAGGGGGAGGAGGGGTTGGGATCACATGGTGGAGGGAACATGGGGTGGCCTGGGGGTGTCATGCTTGGATGACAGAGGGGACCTGGCACAGCCCAGGGGAAAGGGGTCAGGCTTGGATGACAGAGGGGACCCGGCGTGGCCCTGGGATTGGTGGGTGGCTCAGATGGCAGAGGGGACACAGCACGGCCCAAGGGGAGGGGGAGGACTTGGATAGTGGAGGGGACCGGGCATGACCCGAGAGGGGAGGGGTCGGGCTCAGATGGTGAAGGGGACATGGGGTGGCCTGGGGTGGGTTGGATGGAGAGGACCCAGCCCCAAGAACTCCTCCCTAGCGATGCAGCCCCTGCGGCGGGAAGTGGGAGCTGGAGCTGGAACAACCTGTGCCCAGAGGGGACAGCATTGAGGCTGGCCATAGCGAGCTGCTGAGGACAGAGGTGGAGGTGGGCAGTGGCAGTGGCATGAGGATGCAGATGACATGATGTCACTCTGTCGTCCCACAGAAATTTTTAAATATATATATAGCGAGAGAGAGAGAGAGAGAGAGAAGAGATAAGGAGATGCAAGTGGCCGTGTTATGCCCCCTTGTCTACTTGTGTAACCTGGATGTGGAGGACAGCAGGTACCACCAGGCTGCTCCTCCCCTTCTCTTGCAGATGAATGGGCAAAATATGGCTGGAGTGTGGACAGAATATTAACTCCAATGTACTGACTTGTGCACTAGAGCTAAGACATGTTCATCTGAAAAAAGGGAGAAGTAGCAACTAATTGACTCTTGAAGTAACAATCCAGTTCATGTCTGTCTCACAAAACTAGGTGGTTGGACAACAAAATGGCAAATGAATTTTAATGTTGATAAATGCAAGGTAATGCACATTGGAAAAAATAATCCCAACTATACGCACAATATGACGGGGACTAATTTAGCTATTACCACTCAAGAGAGAGCCTTTGGAATCATTGTGGATAGTTCTCTGAAAACATCCTCTCAATCTGCAGCAATAGTCAAAAAAGCAAACAAAATGCTAGGAATAGAGAATTAGACAGCGAATATTTTACTGCCTCTGTGTAAATCCATGATATGCCCACATCTTGAATACTGCATGCAGGTGTGGTCCCCTCATCTCAAAAAAGATATCTTGGCATTGGAAAAGGTTCATAAAAGGACAACAAAAAATGATTAGGGGTTGGAACAGGTGCCATATGAGGAGAGATTGAAAAAACTGCAACTTTTCATTTTAGAAAGGAGGAGATTAAGGTGGATTGTGATAGAAGTCTATAAAAGCATGACAGTTATGGAGAAAGTGAACAAGGAAGTTATTTACTTGTTCTCATGACATAAATATTAGGGGTCACCAAATGAAATTAATAGGTAGCAGGTTTAAAACAATTTAAAACAAACAGGAAGTATTTCTTCAGGCAGCAAAGTCAACCTGTAGAACTCCTTCCCAGAGGATATTGTGAAGACAGGACAGTAACAAGATTCAAAAAATAACTAGATAAATTCATGGAGGCTAGGTCCATCAATATTTATTTGCCAGGATTGGTAGGAATGGTGTCCCTAGCCTCTGTTTGTCAGGGGCTGGAAATGTGTGCTAGGAGAGGGATCATTTGATGTTTACCTGTTATGTTCACTCCCTTGGGGCATCTGGCATTAGCCACTGTCAGAAGACTGAGGGTATGTCTACACTACCCCACTAGTTTGAACTAGCGGGGTAATGTAGGCATACAGCACTTGCAAATGAAGCCCGGGATTTGAATTTCCCGGGCTTCATTTGCATAAGCGGGGAAAACCCTGCTTTTTTAAAACCCCGCTGGTTCGAACCCCGTGCAGCGCGGCTACACGGGGCACGAACTAGGGAGTTCGAACTAGGCTTCCTAGTTCGAACTAGGAGGGTAATGTAGGCATACCGCACTTGCAAATGAAGCCCGGAAAATTCAAATCCTGGGCTTCATTTGCAAGTGCGGTATGCCTACATTACCCTCCTAGTTCGAACTAGGAGGGTAGTGTAGACATACCCAGGGATACTGGATTAGATGGACCTTTGAGCTGACCCAGTATGGCCATTCTTATGTTCTTATATCCTGCTCTGGGTAGCACAGCTCAGCAGTGGTCCTTATTGGTGCTAGATGGTAGAATTACAACCCATCACATAACAATTAAAAACATGGCTTTCAAAGGGTGCTATGATTTAATGTGGGAATAATGTGCCTTTTAAAAGATAGTAAACATACCGACCAGCACTTACAAATGTCCCTTGGAGGCAACAGGAAGTAGGATATGCACTGACTGGAACTTCCATGCCATAGGAAATGTTGCGATTTTGAATGATTTTTGCACCTAATTGGACTGAAAAGTCAAAATGGCAAAAATTTCTGCAAAATAATTTGTGAAGACAAAAATCCTTTGGGGTATGTCTACACTACAGCACTAATTCGAACTAACTTAGTTAGTTAATTCGAACTAAGCTAATTCGAATTAGCGCATCTAGACTTAAAAACTAGTTCGAATTAGCATTTTGCTAATTCGAACTAGCATGTCCACACTGAGTGGACCCTGAACCAGGGTTAAGGCTGGCCGGAAGCAGTGCCGGCAGAGCATCAGATTAGGATTTAGAGCGTGGAGCTGCTGTCTCAGGCTAGCCGAGGGCTGTGCTTAAAGCGACCTGACCCCCATCTGGGACAGACAGTTCTCAGGGTTTCCCCGCTTGCAAAGCAGTCCTGGCTTGGAGTGCCCTGAGTGCCCACACTCAGCACATCACAGCACTCGGCCATCAGCCTGGCTGCACTTGCCGCAGGCTGCCAT